AGAACTCCCCGCAAAAACACTTTATCTGGTACAAATTTCGACATTTTTAAATGAATGAAACAAATTGTTGTTCACGCTCAAACAATTTATATCTACTGAAAACGACGCGAAATGGCAGTACCTTTGAAATGAATATAGCCACAGATGAATACGACGCGAAATAATACTAGTAGAGCCCTCTCTTAGAAAACCGCACGAATTAATACATACACCCAATATTTTAGTCAACCTGTTGTAAACACATGCCACAAAAAGTTTAGTTCAATAATACTTCAACTAAAATGCAGTCGAGTTGCAAACAGAATAGGGCATTCATAAAATCGTGTTGAAAAATATTATCGAGTATAATTAAGTTAAATATCGAAAGTAAATTGAATCAGCTCAGACCTTTACCTATTTCTCATATAGTGAATTCCGGCTTTCTAGTTGACTTAAACAGAAATTAAGTGGACGTGTTTTATTACCAATAATGTGTTCTAGCTCTGAATATGAATGTAATCGGTCCAGATTTTTGTCTAGACCCCATACTCCTAACATAATGGTTTATGACTCTCTGGTTGCCATTTCCATTTTTGGTTTATTGATTGTATTAGATTTATCTCATTTGAATATTAGGTTTATTTTAATATAGATATCTCCTTGAATAATTAATTTTGAATTCCCTTTCTTATGCTAGTGTGATTGTCATCGAAATAAAATAACCAACGTCCACCTCTATATAACGGGTTATATTGAAAACTATTAAGAATATATAAGAATTAATCTAAAAATTGGGTGTGGTTTTTGGTGAAATTATATAAGTAGGTAGTATTGACTAGGAAATAACTGAAAATGAAGAAAGCAATAGTTTAAATAATATTGGTGAATTTTAAGAGAATCTATTGAAAAAACGCAACCATTTAAATGAAATACAAAGAACTTGTATGTGTATAAGTATGTAAATGGGACGTTTGATAATTCAATATCATGTATTTTAACTTGTTGTATGTTTTAACTTTTTCGTGTTGTAATTGCTCCATTCTGATGTTATGCCTTCCCTTTTCCTCTAAACTCTGCGCTTTTAGGCGATTTTGTACTGCCAACAATTCATTTTGTTGTGGAGTGGCCAGCATTCAGCAATGTGGCTAGCTTCTTCCACTTTTTTCCACAGCCACTTTATCGCCTTTTGAGAAATTGCGTGCTAAATATGCATGCGTTTCCATAAATTCAACTAAGATTAGTTCTTGTTTTGATTTTTTGTGTATTCCCCTCAAAGTTTAAAGAATAACGGTCACATATATATTTTGTTTATTTTTATTTTATTTTATTAAATACTTACATTTTAAAAATGTTAAAATCACAATTGTTTAATTTGCTAAATATATAAAACGGGAAAATTATAACGATTCCGATTTCCTGAACAGGGCGACAGAACGATTTGCTGATGCTCGAAAAACCGAAAACGGAACGATTTACAGAATATGTCAGACGATTTAAAAACGGAAAATGAAAATATAGCCCAACAACGAACAAAACTTCATACTCCTAATATAATAGTATCCGCGCCTCCAGTTACTTTTCCTTTATATACGCAATGTTTTAAATTTCTTCTCTTTGGTTGAGTTTATATTTCATATATCCAAATTAAATGAAGCGACAATATTTTAATTAGTATTGTGTCATTCAGGTAATAAAAATTATATCGGTATGTACCAACCCTCAGTACGTGTATAAAATTAATATTTATAATTAGAGGTTTTCACACGTAGCATTGTTATTTGTTATTAAATTTGTTACAGCTTGTCAACTGTGAATACACTTTTCTACGATAGTTGTTAATCGTTAATTTTTTTCAACGCAGCTGATATTGAAAAGCAACACCCTTTCCAAAATTACAAATAGGATTTGACGTCGCTTAAAGCTACTGCACCAATATATACATATACTGGCCAGATTCTGAAGAAAGCTCTGAAATGGTGGAAAAACTTTCAATAAACTGCCGATTTGCATTAGATACGTTGGTGGCACGGAAAATAAATTAGATGCCATACATACCATATTTTTTTAAAGCACAGGTGACTACCAGCAGAAGATTCCGTTTCCACGACAGTCGGGTCTACGTAACCGGAACGGAACCGGATTTTTATCCAGCCAAGCTCCTGTCAATTTGGTAGAATTCTGCCGCTTCAACACTAACAACAAAAACCAGCTGAAGATTCGCGATGTGGTTCTTGTTTACTGCGGTTCAACTCACGATTCCAAAATATTAAAAAAATTTCACTTTTTAAAAACCGCTCTAATTTTTTTTCGGCTTGCAGGTGATTCTGCATATTTACTTAACAAGATAATAGTCTGTTACTGTTTCACCAAGTAACGAGTAATTTGTCATAGACAAGAACAAAATACATGTAAATGTATACCGAATAACAGATTACAACACTGCGTGTGAAAACCCTTATTGTAATAGTAAATTGTGCCTTAACACTGCATTCTATTAAATTATTAGTAAATAATTTTTCAATCTTTTAAAATTACCACTATGAATCAACTTCAAAAACTGAGTCAGCGCAAAATTTCAGTTGAAGTATTGTCGAACTTAAACTTTTTTGTGGTTTTACGCTTGCTTGGTTGCAGTTATAGTTAAACATAAATGCAGTGTATATCGCAAAAAAATTAATAGAAAATGGAAAACGGATAAATAAATGGGGGAAACTTTAGTATAACATCCCACGATTTCAGGGTTAAGAAGGGTATGGTTGGATAGAGAAGATTCTCCAGATAAAGAATATATATAATTATAGCTTTCGAGATATTTGCATATTAAGTTGAAAATTTCACAAATTTTAACTTACAATTTCTCGATTTATAGTTAATTTTTCTTTTATATTATGCACTTATTATACACTAACACTTCACCACATTGTTTCTAAATATTTATTTTATATTAATTATTTTAATATTTGCTTTAAATAAGCATTTTATTTTTACACAATTTTCGTTACATGCACAATAACAAATGGGTTCCATGTTGACATATAATAAGTGTTGCCATATCTATTTTATATATATTCATATTTATATTTTGCAAACGAATAAAAAAGTCTCTTCTTTTTCTACCTCCTGACAACTTCAACAATAGTCATTGTATGGCGTTCCTAGTCTTCTGGCATGTCTGCCAATTAGACAGTGACCTGTAAGCACTCCTACTACAGTTCTTATGTTATGCCTTTTGTATTTTAATAGTCTATTTATGCCACGGAGGTCACCTTAGTCCCGGTGGTATCACAATGGGCCTCCTAAAGTCCTAGGTGTGTCGAGAGACAGCCACTCTACCTACCTACCTATGTCACGAGAGTCAGCTATATATCTATAACATGTTTGTCGATTAAAAAATGCTTATGGCTAGCATATAATACATATAGCATATAGCCCTCTTTTTCGGACTCTAGTTGTAGGGTGGTGTCTGCTCTGGCTAGTTCTGCTTCACAGTTACCAGGGATATCACTATGTCCCGGACTCCATTGCAGATCCACCAAAAGTTCATGGCATTCTTTCACTATTTTTGGTGAAATCCTAAGAGACTTCAGTGATTTCAAAGCCGCTTTTGATGAAGACACCTTCTCGCACTCGATTAACTAGTTTTGTAATGATTACACATACGTTTTAGCACTACATTTCCATCATTGTTACATAACTCAAAACTAATGTCCATTTTAATATTTATTCACCTTTCGTGAGCAATAGCTAAATTGAATCGTTTTAATTTCTTGTTTTAAAATTTTAATTAGTAATACCAAAAGAGTTTTATTGATCTGGAGTTGAAATGCTTTAACTTAATGTCAACTGAGTGGAAAAAGTCAAACTGTTTTAGGGATATAGGTTTCATTTTAAGTATTATGTCAAAAATTGAGCAATGCTACAAATACTTTCAGCCGATCTTTTCTAAAATGTAAACTTATATGAGTTTCCAGTATAAGTTCTTTTTTTAAATACACAGTCGGAAGACGATAGCAACTCAAAATTATTTCACATAAACCTTGAGAATATACACAGTTGTTTTTCTTAAAGTGAAGTTTAATTGTAAATCGCAATAGGGCCCTTAATTTTAAGAATTTAGTTTTTTTCCATGTGCAATGTGGAAAATACTTCCCTTGTTCTCCATTGTGTATCTGGATTTTTATTCTCAAACCGAAATATATGAAAGAATCTATTTAGGAATATATCATAACATGTACGCTTTGCATTTATTTATATAAACGAGTAAAGTTTATATTTCCAGAAAAGATATTGGAGCTCGTCGTCTACCTCATAATGAGGACAAAACCGAGTTATTGATGCACAGATGGCGTTACCCAAGCCTTTCCACTCATGGAATAGAAGGTGCCTTTTATGAGCAAGGCGCAAAAACTGTCATACCTGCTAAAGTCACAGGAAAATTTTCTATACGTTTAGTTCCTAATCAAGATCCTGAACATATCACTGAGTGTGTTACCAAATATTTAAATGAAAAATGGCAGGAACGAGGATCTCCAAACAAAATGAATGTAATTGTTTCATACCCAAATATTTGATATTTGTATATAGGTATTCCTATTAATATGTATAATTTTCTTAAAAGGTCAACCTTGTGAGTAGTGGAAAACCTTGGACTGAAGATCCTAATCATCCTCATTATGAGGCAGCCAAAAGTGCAATCAAACATGTATACAAAACGGAACCTGATATGACCCGAGAAGGTGGGTCTATACCTGTGACACTAACACTTCAAGAGGCCACTGGTAAAAACGTTATATTAGTGCCGGTAGGAGCTTGTGATGATGGAGCCCATTCCCAAAATGAAAAGATTGATATTTACAACTATATAGAAGGAGTAAGTAGACTTTCTGTTAATGCCGGTTTCTATGTACGTTTACTTCGGATTATTTTTAGACTAAACTTCTTGGAGCTTACCTTTACGAAGTTGGAAAACTAAACTAAAAGTAAAAAACGGTTGAACCTAATGAAACACAAACATCACAGAATTTAACAGTTATACAGTATATATACAATATATCAGCATTAGCACTTTAATAAAGAACTATAATTTTTTAGCAGACAAATATAACTAATCCGTCCATGTGTCTCCATATTTATTTTTGTGACCACTTTTTGATGTTATATTAGAATCGGCTCCAAAAGTCGTTTTAATGGATTCATTTCCCCGAATAACTACTGAAGCATTTGCGGGCAGTGGTCGAGAAAATGTGTTTTGCTGCTTTTTCTCATATTCTTCTCGATTTTTTTTTCGTAACTCTTCATAACTTGTGCCTTGCTTAGCTTCGGTAGGAAATTCCGTTTCGTAGAAAGGTGTATCTAAATATATACAAAGTTAATAATTAGTTGGGTATAACAAATAATAACTCACTATCCAATGAGGGGCGATAAATGTCGTCAAGGCCAGTAATTGAAGGACGGTTTTCCAAATCTAAATTGAGAGCACTAGAACGAGGGAATTCTTGGATTCGTTCATCACTTATTCCAGTTGAATTAAATGGTGACAAGGTTAGTCCAATTCCGATACCTTGGTCTGGATTAAGCCTACTAATAACGCTTCCATCACGTTGACGTTGGCTTAACAATTCTCCGAGTTTTGAATTAGGTAATCTCATTAGCTTTTCCGCGCACTTTTGCTGGTAACTAAATTTTCCAATGAAATATCCTACTATCACACCCACGACTACTTTCGGCACCGCGCCATACTTAAAATTTGGCTGAAATATGCAATTGTTATAAAAACTGTTATAGTTTATATTTAATTTTTATTTTCAATTATTTTAGTAGTACGAGAATTAAACTTAATTACGTTCAAATCGACGGTACAGCAACCCGAATGACCTGTATGTGTGTTCACTTCTTTGTAATATCGCATACTCCATACTAATATTATATGTGTGAATGTAGGTTTGTTTGCTACGCTTTCAACTCGAAAACACTTAACCGATCATCATAAAACTTTGAAACACTCTTTTCTACGGATTTTGAAAAAATTTATTTTGACAGATATGATTGTTTGTCAACGTTCATATAGAAAAGGTTACGAGAACTTTGAAATCGCATTTTTAATGACGAAGTTAGTTCAAATTGGGGATGTTTGAGTCTAATTCATTGAATCAATATAGAAAAGCAACATTGGCAACATTCGAAAATGTAAAACGTTCCGAGCAATTTAAATTTTATTCATTAATTTTTATACTCTTGCAACATGTTGTTGCAGAGTTAATAGTTTTGTTCAGCTAATGGTTGTTTGTATTACTTAAAACTAATCGAGTTAGATATATGGTTACATATATATAAATGATCAGAATGACGAGACGAGTGGATTCCGAGTGTCTGTCTGTCCGCCCGTCTATTTGTGCAAGCTATAAGTTGTGTAAAAATTTAAATATCTTGATACACGTATTCCTTGGCACCCAAAAGGGGTAGGTATGCAGCGGAATCGAGCCATTGTCACGCCCACAAAACACAATTTTTTTTTTCAATATGCCTAGTATATAAAAACAAAATACTAACAAACAATTCTTTTTCAATTAAAATATAAATAAAATACTTAAAGCTAAATGTGAATGGAATACATTTGCTGCTACTGTTCTCTTGCTAGGTCGTAATGCTTCTTGCGTTTCAACTGGATTTCTCGCCCAGCAGTTTCGACACTTTGCAATTTTCATTATTTCATTTACCACCGAATTCACGCCTAGATCACGGTGTAAGTCAGCAGATCTAACGTACCAAGGAGCACTAAAGTCCTTAGTACCTTACTTTGAAAGCGATGAATGCAGGCAATAGAGCTTTGACTTGAGCAACCCCATAGTTGGGCTCCGTAGGCCCAGACTGGCTTTAGAACTTTATTGTATAGTGACAATTTGTTTTGGACTGATAAGCTGGATCTCCTGCCAACTAGGTGGTAAAGTTTAGCAAATTTTACATCAAGATCACTTCTCTTTTTGACATGCTCTTTCCAGCGAAGCTTAGCATCTAAGGTGGTACCTAGGTACTTAGCACTGTTATGAAGTGGTATAGGAGTATTATTTATATAAAATGGACGATATACCGATTTTTTTAATGAAAATTCGACGTGAATTGATTTTTTTTGAAGTGGAACTTCTTTGCGCTCGTTGGGCTGTAATTCCAGTATCGAATGAAACGAAAAAGCGACAGGAGATGTTAATGGTAATGCAGAGAATGTTAAGGTTAGAGAAGGCCCAGATGTTAGCTGTGCTAAAATGTACATTATTAAAAGGGAACATCGAAAATTTAATTACACCACGTCAAAAAAGAACCCTCCCCTCTTTATAAGCGAACTCAACAAACTACACCACTCTAAGAAGGTACCTAGAAATTTTCAAAACCTTATAAAGAAACGGCTAATATATGTATGCGCAGATGTTCTTTGGCATGCGTATTAAGAAAAAGTAGAATAACAAAAAGAAATAATAAATTTTGAAGAACATTTATATAATGAGGGAAAAATTAAAATTAAATTAAAATATATGAAATAAAAAATATTTATGAAAATTAAAAAATGAATAAAACAACATCTGTGATAGGATTTGAACTCAGGCAATATATTTGATGCAAATTTGCAATAAGGAGCCATGCTATACAAGCAACACCACGAACACTACAAATCTAATTCGGTCTAATCTGTGAACTCAAACAGCAATCGTCGTTTACTTCAAATGACCAATTTATATGTATATATTTCATTCGCATGCCCAAATGTATTTGCATATACATATGTACACATATGAATGTCCCACAATATGCTATTTGTAAAAAATTAGGCATTGGCGCAAGCTACAAAAAACTCGTGACGCACCATCATCGTGCGTTCTCTGTCCAGGTTTCAATGGAGGATTTATATCATATTATTATATTGCTTAATTTGTATATAAAAATACTGATATCTGAGGGTTTATTTACATAATATAAAAATATACACACAAATTCATACATTTTTAAAAATAAAATCGATTAATAAAGATATATCTGAAATAATTATGTGGTAGTGCACCCCCTGACTCCTCCTTGCTTGAGATCGTTCAACTTGCATCGTTCTAGCTTTCTCCTAAAAAGCAAAAAGTGTTGACAAAAGTAATTGCTTGTGCGGGGCAAGGGGAAGCAAGCATCAGCGTACGTGTACTTATGAATGTATGTGAGAATAGAGAAGGCGCAAATGTTAAGAAGTACTAATTAATTTTTATAAACCTTTTTTAAGGTTTCATATAATTTAATTTAATAGTATTGTAATTTTTCCCTCTGTTTAAATGACTATAAACTCCCCTTCCAACTACACCGCTTCTTCAGGGTAAATAATGTCACACCCTAATACAACACACCACACCTTGGAACACAACACGCACTCACAACATAAACGACCACACTGCACACGATGTCAGCACAGAAGTTACCACCATACACGATGACACCCCACACCATCAACAAAAAGAGGGATTGGATCTTCAATTCACCTCATTCGAAATAATTCCGATCTCTTTGCGCAACGTAAATGTATAAAATCGCTATCTCCGCTACCAACCGTCAACACTTTCTGGGCTTAAAACCGTGGTATTAATCTTTATCAAAAAAAGTGTTAAACCAATAAAAAATTTGTGAAAATTAACATTTAATAAAAAAGGTAAAGAACATTTTAATTTAAACCTTAAAAAAGGCGTTTTGTGGAAAAAATGGAAGAAATAATGTCATTGGTGAGTGCTAACATTATAGCATAAGTATTCACCCTCATTATATAAATGTTCTTCAAAATTTATTATTTCTTTTTGTTATTTTAATTTTCCTTAATAAGCATGCTCAAGAACATCTGCGCATAAATATATTAGCTGTTCCTAAGGTGGTGAAAATTTGCTTAGTACCTTCTTAGAGTGGTGTAGTTTGTTGAGTGTAATTTTTCGAATTCGCGTATTTTCGATGTTTCCTTTTAATAATTTACATTTTAGCACAGCTAACATTTGCGCCTTCTATATTTATTAACATTCTCTATTATTGGCATATACTCCCTCTAGTGCAACAGAATTAGGAGAAGATTTGCACACTATGCCAATGATTTTAAGCGGTGAATTTAATATCAATTTTGCCTTGGAAGAAGCTCAACAACTTGTAAAACTTTTAGAAAGTAAATTTAATTTAAAAATGAATAATAATCCCAAAGACTTAACAACCAGATCAGGCACGACAATAGATGCAATTTTCTCAAGATATTTAAATACTAATAATTTACAATCAGGAGTTTTCATTTCATATTTTTTATACCACAAACCGATTGCATCTTTTCTTGAACATGAAAGTATGGAAGTGAATGAATAGATTTTTTATAAATGGAGGCGAAAACATTAACTATCTTTTTTCATTAATCTAACACCCTTAAAATTCCAGAATAATGAATATGTTTTCGGGGAAATATTTCTATCTCATAAAACTTGTTGGCTAGGGTGAGTATTTTCATTTCAAGTGCCCATCGGGATCCATGAAGTTTCACTTATATCGCCTAGCTTTCTAGGCTGTTTGGTGTTGTTTTTTTTTTGTTTATTTGATTAAAATTAATAAACTTAATTACTACAATAAACAATAGTACAACGATAATATATACGTACAGTGTCTCTAGACGAGCTCTCGAGTACTCCGCTATGAAGAATTAGTAACATTTTATTAACTAATGATATTATGTATATCTCAGCTTAGTAGATATATAGTATTATATATACTTGTATTTGTTTGCAAGGAAAAGGTAAAAAAAAACGATGCATAGATGATTTTATAATACAAAATGGTTAAAACAAGAACAAGAAATCAGACCAGATGTGTCATAGAGTGAACTAGTTTTCATTATCATTTAATAGCCACCAGCAGTTCTGTTTCGTCAATGTGGTTTCAGTTTTGTCTCTAAACGAAATGTATCTGTCGAAACGTTTGTTTTCAGCAGTGAATATTTTCGTTTGCAATAGCTAATGCAATGTAGTCAACCCTTTCGTAAAAAGGAGCTCTTATTAAAGTGTTATTGTCATCATATACTTAGGCTGCGACTTATATGCTTTCTAATTATTTACGATGCGACAATCAATTCTGAGAACTTTTGCAGTGTCGTATAGTTTAGAGTTAGATATTAATTTGTTGAAAATACTATTCTGTGACCTATGCAGCGATGTACATAATCGGATTATTCTTGAATTTTCTAAGTCTTTCCATATATGAAGGAGATATATTAAACCAAATTGAACATACATATGAAAGTATTGGTCTCACTAGTGATTAATACATGATAATTTTTAGCCTGTTATATAGCAGTTTTGGGGAAAACATTTTTTTAAAAGTATAATGGGCTCTATTTGTTTTTATGATTTGTAGGTTGATATGATCATTAAAATATAAAAGCTTATCGAGGTGAATACCAAGATATTTGATTCTTTCCTTACGCTGCATTTGAATATTTGCGTTTAAATGAGTTTAAACTCCCTCCTCCAAGTGCACCACTCTACTCGGGAATAACTGACACACCCTAATGAAACACACCACACCTGTGAACACTCAAGGAATTTCACCCCACACAACGACTTCACCACACTCTGCCTCTGAGAACAACATTCACGAAGACACCTAACAAAAAGGACGGGTTCTTCGCGAATCTATTCGTTAGCACACTGCGCCGCGTAAACAACACATTCGTTTCGTTTTATTAACACATCAATACGAAATCGAT